ATTATCACAAAAAACAAGAGTCGAGCGGCTAAGTGGTTGCTGGAGTTCTAGCATAAGATTGCGTATCCAGCTGACTTCGGCTACGGCATTGGCAACGGCCCGGTATTCTACCTCGGCACTAGATCTGGACGTGGTGAGTTGGCGCTTAGAAGACCAGGAAATGAGATTGTCACCAAGGAAAATGCAATAGCCGGATGTGGACCTGCTAGTGTCGGGGCAGCCAACCCAGTCAGCATCTGAGTAGGCCCGCATCTGGTCCATGTGAGATGGAGAGATGGAGATGCCGTGTGATGGTGTGCCGTGGAGGTATCGCAGGACCCGCTTCATGGCCGTGACATAAGGCGTGCGTGGAGCATGGAGAATAAGACAGAGCTGCTGGACGACATATGTAATGTCTGGACGAGTGAAAGTGAGATACTGTAGGGCCCCCACAATAGAGTGGTACATGGATGGGTCGGGCGCAGGTGATCCTCCTGAGGCGGATAGTTTCCCTCGTGTATCAACCGGGGTGGATACCGGTTTGCAGTTGAGCATACCCGCTCAATCAAGGATAGCATAGAGAAACTGAGTCTGTGTCAGGAACAAGCCACGGGAGGTGCGCTGAACATTGATCCCAAGGAAAAAGTGTAGGTCTCCCATATCTGTCATAGCAAACTCACCCTTCAACCGATGTATGACCCGCTGTAGGAGCTCCTGCGAGGAAGCTGTGAGAATAATGCCATCAACATACAGAAGTAGGAAAGCCATCTGAGACCCCTGGCCATAAGTGAACAGGGAGGTGTCGCTCTTGCACCCGCGGAAACCAATCGTGAGAAGAAAGCCAGTAAAACGCTGATACCAAGACCGCGGTGCTTGTTTCAGTCCATAGAGCGCCTTGTTAAGTTTGCACACATAATGGGGTCGGGCAGGGTCCTGAAATCCAAATGGCTGAGCCGTGTATACCGTCTCTGTGAGAGCGCCATGTAGGAAGGCATTCTTGACATCAAGCTGGTGAATGGGCCATCCTCGTGATACGGCCAAGCTGAGAATGATCCAAATGCTTGCCGGTTTAACCACCAGGCTGAATGTCTCATCATAATCTATGCCATAGCGCTGGTTGAACCCGCGAACAACCCATCTGGCTTTGTACCTGGACAGTTCACCTGTAGGGCTAAGTTTGTGTCTAAAAAGCCATTTACCGGAGATAACATTTTGGTTGGGGGAGGGAGGTACTGAATCCCATGTATTATTAGCAATCAAAGCATTATATTCATCTAACATAGCATTGTACCAATTATGATCTTTGAGTGCACTACGGTAGGTGGGGGGAATGGGAGAGATGCTAGCAACGGTGTTTAGGTTTAGGACACGTTTGGGGCAAAAAATCTCGGCCTTAGCACGGGTGGTCATGGGATGGGTGGGCAGAGGGTGCTCGGTTTCTTCAGGTGGGTGGGCTGTGGCCTATGGGCTGGGAGGAGATTGGGCCGAGGGGAGGGGGAAACAGTGGAGGTGGA